GTTCACTCGCTTGATAAGCTAGTGTAACATTTGTTTTAGACGGCGGAAGGCTGTCTACACTGTTTCGAACATGGCTGAGTCTACAAAGAGATTAGTCGTCCTCAACAAGCCCTCAGATTAGGATAACTGGCTATACCTTATGCGGTCGCGTGTAACAGCACTACGCATTTAGGAAGTAGTTGATCTATCCAAGTCTACCAAACCAGATCAACTTTAAGAACCTACGCTGCCATCTTTGCCTGCTTCAGGAGAGGCAAATAGCCAGGCACAATTTCAAACCGAATTCACTATCTTTCGCTACCAAACAGCGGCATTCGACAAACGTAAGAAGGCTCTCGTAGATCTCACAACCTACATCCAAGAATCGATCTCAGTTAACAATCTCTCTTTCATCACATTAGTTGAGACCCATCCATGGGACATCCTTAGAGCTCTATAAAAACGCCTAGCGCCTACGGATCAGGCACGGCTTATAGAGCTAGAGCAGCAATACCGCAATCTTTGCAAAACCTCGAAGGCTTAATCAATCGACACATGGCTACAGCAATGGGAGAAGCTCTATACTAAAGTAAAGAAGTATAATCTTGCTGAAGTATCAGGCAGCAGGCCTACTAGAGACTTTCTAAACGCTCTTAAGCCCATCGAACCTCAGTTTGCAACCTCAATGCAAGTTAAATTAATTAATGATCCCGCTTCGATAACAGATCTATACGATCTCATCGAGAAGTTTCGCCAGTTCTACAGAACAAATGAATCTCAAAAGTCAACTACTAGTTCTCATTCAGCCTTCCAGGCAAACTTCCAAGGAAGACAGCTCAAACAGAAACCACTCTGCGACTGCGGAAAGCATCACTTTTGGAGTGACTGCTACTACTACAATGCAACGATCCGTCCAAGAACTTTCAAGCCAAATCAGTCAATTCAGGCTACTATTCAAGAAAAGCTCAAAGATCCAAAGCACAAGGAGCGTGTCGACGCTTCAATCGAACGAAAAAGACGATTTGATTAAACAAAAGAACCAGATCAACCTACAGATCAAGAAGACCCATTAAAGAAGCAGAACATCGCCTCATTTCCCTCTCACTTCGCTTCATTTCCAACCGTTCAATACTCTCTCCAGGACTCATGGATCTTAGATTCTGGATCAAACACGCATGTCTGCAACCACACAATAGCAGATAGATTCCAACAATCCCGCAAGGCCACGCAAGGCGAATCACTCATTTCAGGAACCCATGTATCGCCAATCAAGGCATGGGGAACTATTTCTATCTCTATAAAGACAGAGAAAGGCGAAGGCCTTATTACGCTCAACAACGTCGCATTCGTGCCAGAATTCATAACGAATCTCGTCTCTCTAAAGCTTGCCATGGTTAAGGGAATCCACTAGGACACACAAGCGATGGAACTCACTCTTCAGGGTAGACATCTCTGCAAGATCCAACCTTCTCAAGGACAATTTCTTCTTGAAAACAACCAACCGAGCCAAGATCAAAATCAGGCTCATTCCTTCTTCGCAACATCAATTCGAACATCGTCCGAGGAGAAATAGCATAGCACGCTAGCTCATGCAAATTCAGAGGCAATACAACATCTTCAGGAAAATACTAAGGGCGTAGTTGTCACCAAGAACCCGCCGACTCCCAACACTTTAAAATATAGTACCTGTGCATTATCAAAATCACACAAAATCGTCTCGAGATCTTCAAGCAAGGAAGAGACCTCACAAGAGGCGTTCTATCGCCTATCATTCGATCTC